ACCAAGAGACTCATGTAAAGGTACAAGATCCCAATGATGAATGTAACTGTATTGTATACCTAAAATGTACCAATAAACTTAATGGGAAAAAAAAAACATATCAAGTGCCAACAAGAATAATTAATATAGGGCCAGGGATTTAGCTGTGTGCTGCCACCTTCCTCACAAGCACAAGATCCCAAGTTCGATCCCTGGTACGCCCCCCCCCAAAAAAGAATAATTAATATAAAACATCAGGAAACCAAAAGATAAACGTCAGCTTGTCTCCTAAACCGCCCCCCCCCCCCGCCCCGGCACTGGCAAAGTCAAAAGTACGTGATCCCGGCCTGCATCTAACCTCATTTGCATTGCAGTTTTTACACATACACACACACACACACACACACACCCATTTTGGACACCATGATACTTCCTCTAAAAACCTTGTACATTCAAAAACTCCCTCTCTAGATGGGCGGCCTGAGGTGGGTACCTTATTGACCCATGACTACTGTCAGTCCCTAACTTGGATCCTCCATTCATCCCAGGAGCTCAAGAGTCCCCTTTCCCTACCAGGAAGTGAGCTCTTCTCACTGACCTGCTCCCATTCTGAGGAGTTAACTTTTGCCTTCTCTATTGCTCTCTGGCAGTACTGAGGATTGAACGCAGGACCTAGTGCATGATAGGCAAGCACTCAGCCACTGGGGTACCTCCACAGCCTTGCTAGTTTCTTTTAATAAATCTTACTTTTTACTTTGAGTGTTCTGCTCAATTCTTTGTTCAACACATCAAGAACCTGGAAACAACTTCTAGAAGACTATGGAATAAGGGTTCCACGCCTTTCAAATAAAAACCTATTCTTTTATAAATCCTTAGCATTGCCAATAGCTCCCAAGACAGTGTCTTCTAGCTTAGCAGCAGTTAGTCATGTTCATTACCCCTTCGTTAAACCTGTTAATCTAATCTCCCTCAACAGTAGCTATAGGTTGGCTTCTCCACCACCACTTTTAGTGGAGCCTTCAGCATCCCCAGCACACAGGTTTAGGCACGGATGAGAGAAGGACCGCTTCTATATCGAGTTATTACTTGAGAAGTCACCTACTATCCAAGTAACAAGCAAAACGAATGGGAGTTGATTAAGGATAGAAGGTTGTTACTCTCTGAGCAAAGACTTGAGAAGTAAAGACGCTTCCGGCCCTGCGACGCCTCCCTTCCCCCTCCTGGAACACAGGTGCTCACTAACGGAAAAAAGGTCCTGCCCTCAAACACCCACAGGGGCCAGGCGTAACCTTAGGGGTGGACTCTAACCTCCTGATCCACTGATTGGCTGCCTGGGCCACGGGCCTCAGATGATTGGTCACTGCCCTGAGAGCCACGGGACTTGCACGAGGCACGCGCTCATTTCCAAACGAGACGGTGATGGTGGCAGAGGCGTCGAAGATTAGGCTCGCCTTTTCCGCCTATCCGCAGGTGGGGAATAAGGGTCTCCCGTGGAGTACTGCCGAGATCCAGTGCTCTCGCTGTGGAAGAAGAGTGTCCAGAGCTTCCGGTGAGGCGGGGGTGGGGGGTGGCTCCGACCTGGCTCAGGACCACCTGGGAGGTGTGGGGCGGAAGTGGGGCGCAGCCTGGGTGGAGGAAACGCCTGCGGGCGGGCGCTGGACAGA